AGCTAGAAGGTTGATTTCCCACACATATTCTTTGGCTTCCTACGCAGCGCAAGTTTATTTTAGCCGAGCGCCACGCCCCCTCTAACGCCCACAATCGCCCACTAACGATTTTAAAATGGGTCCTGCGCCCACATCTTTAAAGATTTCCGAAAAGTAAAAATGCAATTTTGTTGTGTATATTTATTCCTATCGAAATGTAGAAGACATTTTTCAAATCGGACCATTCATTAAAAAGTTATACGCAATCAAAATTTATATATCTATCTCCCTCGCACTCCCTTTAGCTGAGTTACGATTATTAGTCGGGATACCAACCCGAGTACAGCGTTCGCACTCCCTTTAGCTGAGTGACGGGTATTAGATAGTCGGGACACCAACCCGACTATAGCGTTCTCTCTTGTTTACTTTGGAGTCTATAATTTAAAAAAATTTTCAGAGCTACAAAATAATGGCTGGCATAAAAACAGTCGAAAAATAAATAAAAAATGGTTGGAAAAATAAAGCTTGTACTTTTTTTTTCATATTTTCTTCTATTTTAATTTTTAGAAAATAGTTTAATTGAACATATTGGATAAATATCTTATAATCCTGCAATTAAATGTAGGTAATGTGATTATAATTGTGTGATACGTTTTCTCAGAATCGTATAAAACAGATGATATAGACTGGTCGCCGGTTTAAAGACGAGCGGAAAAGATATCGGCTACAACAGGAACACACACCATATATACGTGCCTTAGAGTTCTACAGGTTCTGATCTCGGCTGCATTTCCACCGCCAGGTGGCGCTGCTACTGCTGGGATTCTCGACCTGAAATCGTTTTCCCCCCTTTCTTACTACCATTCCCATCCAATCGAACCGATCTCGTCTCTCTTCTGACTTTTCGGGCCTTTATGCAATGAGGCGCGCTTGCCACACCTGGCAGGTAGCTGGTCATCTGGCCGGAATACTTGTAGGCCGACTTCATGTAGGCTTAACAAAACTTTCACCGAATTTTTCAAGTGACAAGCACTCGGAATTCATGGATCAAAGACGACAAAAGATAATGGGAAGTATATACCTATAGCCGAACTAAAGGCAAATATGCTCTCGTACTCGTACGTACACGATGGTACGTCGACAATTTCGCTCGTTCGAAGGTCACTTCTCCCAAAAAAATAACACAACAAAAATAAAATAAAAAACCGATATCATACTCGGCGCAGCGTTTCGAAATTTAGCCAGATAAACAGCATAATTAATATACAATATACAATTCGAAACCCGTTTCAACTGGAATCCGTTAAGTAAACGGGGCCCGCCCGCCGACAATTGTATAATTTCGGGCAAAAAGGGCGTGTGGATTGTTGAGTGTGGAGTGTTGAGTTGTGTGCATTGCGCAAATCCGCCTCCATGTGGCTGGTCTTTTGCAGTTGCCTTCACCGTTAAAGGGAAAATGAAATGGTTAATACCCAATCGAAATCTGGTCAAGGTCGGTGGGGCTTGTGGGGCTTGTGGGGCTTGTGGGACACCAGACACCAGACGCCAGACACCTAAGCTCTAAGCTCGTCGGCTCAATTAACTTCAATTCGATTGCGGTCGTCTTTGGCGATTAGTGTCTGCAGGGAGCACTGAAAAGGGGCAAGGACGATAGTCCTGTACGGGACATCTGGGGTCAGTGGCCAAATCAATAGGCTAGGTAATAATGAAGTAACCTGCGTGGATTTCCAAAAGTCAAAATATTACGAAATTGAATCCGCACAAGCCCAGGCTTGTGATGTGGTTGCATAATCACATCCACGCTCGTCGTAATTTCATTTGGCCTGCGTACTTTTCGGCGGGGGAGTTGACCAATGGGATATGGAAAGTCGGCGCAGTGACCAAACGGTAATACGTGGAGGGATGTGGTTCATTCCGCACAGCCAACAGGCCAAAAAAGGACAGCGGTATGAGAGACATACCATGACATAATTATGAGAAACGAGAGTTTTGCACCGAGCTTAAAAGGTTTTCGCGAATTAATTAGGCATAACGTAGAGTGACAAATTACAGACAACCAAAGTGTGTTATTATGCTAGGAATTTTTCAAAGCATATTTGCTTATAGATATTTAAATTTCTTATATTATATTTTAAATATTTTAATAATTGTAAGCTGATATTTAACTAAATATTTTTCTATTCTATTAAACTCTATAACCGAATCCATTTTAAAAAGGAAAATATCTGCACATGGAGGAAGGTATGTCTGTATATCTGCTGTCAATATTTTTATTCGTTTAATAAATCGGATTATGTTGGGCAATCTGTTACGAGGGCTTAAGAAACGCAGCACCAACGAAAAATCGGTCTCCGCCTGAGTCATTTGAGTCGTTTCCCTAACTGCTTCCTCCCCCCGGGGCTCTGAGTACATCAATAAAATTGTCCACAGTCCGAAGCAAAAGCAAAGAAAGGCAAAAGGAGCATGGAGGCGTAGTCATCTGCGATTTACAGCCCCATCAGCGAGTCCCGCACTTGGCAGGAACAGTAAATACTTAATAAATTTCCTACCCTCTTCTAAGGAATGGGAATGGGAATGCTTGTTTGCCTGGGAATTTCCGTCTGCCGATCATCCGGAGAGGTATACGTGACCCGAAAGGCATGGCCATTGTGGCCAGTTGGCCATGATCTGGTTAAAATTCGCACATGAACGGGGGGAACATGGTTCGAATACCGGATACCCAGACCCATCTCGAATCCTTGGCTCCATTCGGTGCTCCGTTTATAACGTGTAATAGCTGCGGTAATTGTCACGTAGCAAACGAAAGGACACTTGACCGGCCGCTGGGAATAGGCCCATGTGCTGTGGGGAATGATATGTGAGTGGAAGTTGAGGAAGGGTATCTAGTATGAGTGGGTATACCTATTAGGGTAGTGGAAACAACGATAGTGGGCACCATCGAACATTTTGGCTATCGGTATTATCGATATTTTCAAAAATCAGAGAAAATAAAAACAAAGGAAAATTCAATATAAGAAATAATCTAAATGATACATTTTATTGCTTTGAAAATACAAAAAAATACTTGAAAATATAAATTACTGAACTATCCTTATTAAGTCAAGACCATCGATATTTTCTAAATTGTAAAACCATCGATAGTGCTATCGAACGTCGAGTGAGAGGAAAAGTTCGGAAGGGTATCTATCGAACATTTTGGCTATCGATATTATCGATACTTACGAAAATCAGAGAAAATAAATGACAAATTATAAAAACAAAGGAAAATTCAAAATAAGAAATAATCTAAAAAAAACATTTAATTGCTTAAGAAATACGAAAAATTAGTTGTAAAAATAAATTACTAGACTATCGTTATTAAGTCAGGACCAGCGATATTTCCTAAATTAGTCTAAATCGCCTTACCAAACCGAGTGAGAGGATTTAGGAAAGGGTATCTAAACCCCCTACACTCATCGCCTGATTGCATTGCGTGGCACCTTGCAGTTGGCCCAAAAGCCAGCGGCATGAGCAATTAGCCATTCGCCAATCATGAGTGATTGCCTGGCCAACCGCAAAGGAGGAAGAGCACCAGTCCCGCAGTCAAACAGTCGCACCTGCGATTGAAACAGAGAAGTGGAATTTCGGCTACGGATTTCCCACACACCGCTGGCTATGGAATTCGGAATCGTAGTTCATCAATCAGGCGCTCAGCCTGCTGGACCACAGACCAATTCATTTGCTGTCCTCAAAAGTGGCAATTGATTTATCCCAGGTCGAGGGAGCAGAGACCAGAGGCCCAGCCAATCGATCCGTTTCTGGGACTCATTCCTACTTTGTGCATCATTATTGTTATTTATGGAGCTGGCTTGGGATGGCTTGGGATGGCTGGAGATGTAGAGTCCTCTATCTAGACACTTCTTTGTGCTGTGTGCCAGGGCACTCCACTCTGCGGCTGACAGCTTAATAACTGGATGCCAGACCATCGCATGCAGCAGCGAAATTAATGGGCCAACTCATTAGCAGGAAATGGTCAACAATGTGGGCGATTTGCATCTCCTCCTCCTCCCCTGGAAAACCCTGCACTCTTGTGCCAAAATCCTGGCTCAGGCTCAGGAGTTAATGCCGAGGTGAAGCCAAACTGGCAGGCAATCAATTAGCCTTTTTTCGGGTGCTCCAAAAACAGTAAAAGTGATGATATGAAGATTTGAAGTTCGGTTGCCAAAAAGTATACAACACTTTGTCGAATGAACCCGAATTTAAATGTCGCTTTATTTGATTTTATTTGATTCGATTTCATCTTATTTACATAAAAACACAGAGATTCATACATCTATAAATATCATAATAATAATTGCAATTGCCAAAGTTCGTTGAAGTGTGTGGGGGAGCTAAAGTGAAACGTTTGATTGTATATATAATATATCTACTATTTATTTTGTATGCCAAAAAATCCAACACATTTCCCAGTTTTTCAGCTACATTCCATCTACTTAAAATTGGATTTTTGGCTACGGGTATCTTATAGTTTATTTTTGGACCTCGGAGTGGCTGGCACTCCATAAGCTCCGTCTGACAACCTTTTTTGAATAAGAGGAATCCCGTTGAGAGACCCCGACTACCCTGTAAAATCAGCCTGCTCTCAAATGCTTCTTGATTCGCTGAAACCTTCCGCTGTGATCAGCGGAATTTCTACATTGGGGGTATACCACCTCTATAAGGAGAACTTAAAAGAAAGAATTAATTTGAAGGCAACTAAAATTTAATTTAACAAAAATAAAAGTCTTCAAAGTGTAAAATTGTAAATAAAAATACCTGCTAGTTACGAAAACATATTTTTGTAGGATCTACAATAAATAGCTATTTAAATGAATAAATATTATAAATATAGACTTATATCTACTTATGTAAAAAATAAATACTTAATAATAAATAGCTTAAATGAAAAATCTATAAACTATTTATATAATAAATAAATATTAAATAATAAATAAATTGAATGAAAAATCTATAAACTGTGAAGCCATGAACCCTTTTTATTCGACAGGTATATTCTTTATGTCTATGTAAATTTGTATCCATTGCATGTGATGTGAATTCAATTTTGCACTCAGAATTGTAGAAACCTAAAACGCGAGGTTAAAGTCCAATAGCTGACCACTCTTAAAACACACACATATTAAAACACTAATTGGTATTATATTAAGAGCATTTCAGGGGGATGGGGTTCCCCATCCACATCCACACACATTCAGAACGCGGCAGAATCGTTGACAACCACAGTTTCTATTGCAGTTACATTGCATCATCACAAATTGCTGCACTCGATCCGCATTCGTAGTCCCCTCCAGCCCACTAAAGCGATTCCGTCTCCGCCATCTGCTGACGCCGTCGGCTGGCTCAGAGTCGCGGGCTCTCGAGGATCGTGTGGCTGGACATGACCGAGTTGGCCAGCGCAATCGAGTTGCCGGCCACCGAGAGATTCGTCTCGTTCTTGGCCCGCCGCCGCCAGAAGCAGCAGGGGGCGCAGAGGCGATCGCACACCCGCATCCCCTTGAAGGTGTCCACGAAGGCCCGTCGGAAGCTGGCGTTCATGAAGCAGTAGGTGATGGGATTGCAGCAGCTGGACGAGTAGGCCAGCAGCTGGAGGAAGCTGATGGCCGTGTAGTCCACATACTCGTACACCGCCGGCCCGAGCAGCATGGTCATCGTGTTGATCACGTACAGCGGCGTCCAGCAGATGAAGAACTCCAGCACCAGGACGAACAGCATCTTGACCACCCGCTTCTTGCTCTCCAGACTCTTGCTTTCGTTGGACCTGCAATCCAAAGCGGACTTGGCTATTTCGTTTCTCGGCTTCAGTTGGTTAACTCACCTTCGCAGTCCCGCCTCTGTGATCCGCAGACTGGGTTGCGACAGCGACTTCCTTCGCGATTCATTGTCGCTTATGTAGCCACCCTGCTGGTGGCGCATCCGGTGGACGCGACTGCAGCAGTCTGGGTTTCCGGTTCCGCTTCCGCATCCGCTTCCAGTTGCGGATACGGTCACGGCTCCAGCTCCGCCTCCTCCGTTTATCTGCTGATGACGCACCGACTTCACAGAGGCACTGCGCATGCAGTACAGATGCCTTCGTCCTTCGCAGGGACCTCCTCCTCCCACTGCTCCTCCGCCGATCAGCCTTCGCTTGCTGCCGCAGTGGGTGTAGTCCGCTGTGAAAAAAGGGGAAAAAACAAAGGGGTAAGTTGGAAAAGTGCTGTAAGACTATAGGCCGATTTAAATATTTTTTTCCCGATTTTTATTATTATTATTAAAAAAATTAAAAAAAATAAAGTAGTCTCGTTCTATTCGATAATACATTTCCAAAATTTGTCCAAAAAGTAGAATATTATTTTCTACCTTAAGTTGCCTTAAAAATTGCCCATACGACACGTTTCACAATAATAACTTAGTTCATCGCTTAAAATTAATAAACAAATATTTATATATATGAAAATAACAATTAGGCCCGTTTTATTCGATAATACATTTTCAAAATTGTTCCAAAAAGTAGAATATTATTTTCTACCTTAAGTTATCTTTAAAATTACTCATACGACACGTATGACAGTGAGAACTTGGTGGAAAAAGGTGGGATCATTCTGTCAAATTATAAATTTAGTTGAAATAATTGGATTTAAAAGGGAAGCGCAAAAAATCAGATGAATGGTTAAAACATACGCCATCTGGGTTAAAAAAACTTTTTGATCTTACTTAGGCAACAGTGCGTATGAGTGATAAGCATTGTAGCCCGCTTTATAATTTATTTATTTCAATTTTATTTTAGTACATGTGGACCACCCTAATGCTTTCATTTAACTACGCCCCTCACTAGTCTCTAATCTTGCGTGATTGAAACATTCAAGTGGAGTACAAGTCGGTTGATTGATTGATTGATACATACAAACAAACCGCCGTCACGAGGCTAATGAGCCGTAATCATGGAATCACGCAACACCAAAGCGGCTCTCGGTTCTCTGCAGGTTTGAGGTGATCAACTCACTGGCAAATGCCCGATGGAAGTCGTGGGAAGTGGGATTGTGTCCACCAGCATCCAAAGGGCTCCCATCTCGATGTGGCTGCCACTGCTGTGCCTCCTGTGCCTTATTGCGTTGGCCACTCTCCTCTGGCAGGGCAACCACTGGCGAAGTCGCGGACTGAAGGGACCTTTCGGCTGGCCGCTGGTTGGGAATATGCTGGACTTTGCCTTGGCCCGCCGTTCCTATGGCCAGGTTTACGAGCAGATATACAGGTAAGTAGGAGTTCTGGATGATTGAACTTTAACCTATCTTTTGTAGTCAGAATCCCGGCCTGAAATACGTGGCCTTCTATCGCCTGTTCAACGAACCCGCCATTCTGGTGCGCGACCAGGAGCTACTGCGTCACATCCTAGTGGGCAGCCACTTTGTGGACTGTGCAGAGAATGCTGTCCATGTCGACCCTCGCCGCGATGTCCTCGCTAGCCACAATCCCTTCATCGCCAGTGGCGATCGCTGGCGCATCTTAAGAGCCGACCTGGTGGCCCTCTTCACGCCCAGCCGACTGCGTCAGACTTTGCCACATGTGGTCAGTGCCTGCCAGTTGCTAAGGGCTCAAATACCCCTTAAGCTTGAGGGCTTTGAGGCCAAGGATCTGGCCACCCGCTTCACGCTGCAGGTGGTGGCCTCCGTGGTCTTTGGTCTGGATGCTCACTGCTTGGATCGGGAAGAGGAGTGCCCAAATCGCTGGCTGCAGTGGTTGGCCCCGCTCTTTCAGCCAAGCTCCAAATGGAGTTGGCTGGAGACCGTGTCACTGTTGCACTCACCCCGTCTGGGTTGGATCATAGGCCATCGGTGGGTCAAGAAGTGGAGCTTGAATAATATCTACTTCATCGATATTTTTCAAACATTTTTTCTTATCGGAAACATGGATGTTTTTCTGACGTCTGATAAACATTATCAAAAAAAATATTTTGATTTATCGAAACAATATTGTAATAATATCGAAAATATCGATTATTTCGATCATTTTCAAACATGATTTCTTATCGGAAATATGAATGTTTTTCTGACATCTGATAAACATAATCAAAAGACTTTTTTAGATTTATTGAAACCGTATTGTGAAAATATCAAAAATATCGATATTTCCGATATTTTTCAAACATCAATTCTTATCGGAAACATTTATGTTTTTCTAAAGTCTTATAAACATAATCAAAAGAAATATGTTTGATTTATCTAAACAATATTGTGAATATATCGAAAATATCGATATTTTTATAAAACTCTCAATCTGCCATCCTTAATCCATCATCCCCTTACAGCTATGTACCCCTGCAAATGCAGAGATGGTTCAGGGATTTGGTGGCCGGAAGGAGTGGCGGCGACAACCTGCTCCAATGGCTGGCGGAGAGCAAGAGGACTTTAACTAAGGACGAGCTGGCGGGGCATGCCACCACCCTGCTCCTCGAAGGCTACGAAACCTCGGCCATGTTACTCGCCTTCGTCCTTTACGAATTGGCCCGCAACGAGGAGGTTCAGCGACGCCTGCATCAAGAATTGGATGAGGTTGCCCAGCGACACGATGGCCAGTTGATGGACACAGCCGCCTTGAGTCAACTTCGCTACGCTGAGGCAGCGCTGCTCGAGGCACTGCGTCTTCACCCGGCCATGCAGGCTCTGCAGAAGCGATGCACCAAATCCTTTAGACTGCCGGCCCAAAAATCAGGTTGTGAATCTGAAACTGAATCTGCACTTCAGGTGGATGTGGGAACGGTCCTGGTGCTGCCCGTCCAGGCCATTCATCTGTGGGTTATCTCCTCCGAATTTTAGAGCTTTCCGGTAATGTTCTTTATTCCTTTTAGTGACCCCGATATGTGGCCCGAACCCAAGCAGTTTCGTCCCGAGCGCTTCTTGCAACAGCCACAAATGGGCTGTCGATTTTTGGGCTTCGGCGCTGGAGCCCGAATGTGTCCAGGAATGCGTCTTGGCCTTCTCCAAACGAAGGCTGCTCTTGCCACCCTCCTGCAGGATCACTGCGTCCTGCTGGCGGATCGGGACCAGGATCAGGTGGAGGTAGAGGTGTCCCCACTAACATTCCTTACCGCCAGCAAACGTGGCATATGGTTGCGTTTGGAGAGACGATCAACGCAATGAGGATAAGTTCATAAGGAGTTATTCAGTATTGTTTTTGAAGGAAATAAAATACTATAATGTCTAGAATTTTTGTTATCAAATTATCTTAAAAGTATCTAGTATCGACTTTTTTTTAGTATACCTATCCAGAATATTTAAATCCCACCGTATCAACCCTTTTCGCATTTTAAAATGTTCATACAAATTTTAGTATATTTTTGAAGATTATGTTAAAAGGAGCTAAATTTACCAATGACCTTGGGTAATATTTTTAATTTTTTTGTTGAACAAACGTAGCTTAATGACACAGCAGCTATAGCTACTATTAAACACCAAGGTTATAGGCAATTTATAATTTTCTTTTTACCTGACAATAAATAAATAAATAAATAAAAAATTTTTTTTTGAAAGAAATAAAATACTAGAATATCAAGTATTTTTGTTATTCAATGCCTAGGCCTTTTTCCAGTATCTTAAAAGTATCTAATATCAAAATTTGTTTTTAGTATGTCAGTTCCAGATTACATTTTAAAATTTAAAATGTTTAAATTTTCATTAAAATTTGGTATATTTTTGAAGATTATGTAGGAGATAAAATTATCAATGGCTTTGGGTAATATTTAAGTTGCTTTAGTGCTAATGGAACTAATGTGAACTATAACCCAGCCTTTGGCAGTTTTATTGCCGCTTGCGGTTTCCAAAATAGTTAAGTTGAGCGTAATTTAAATTGCCATTAAAAGCGCAGTTTGCGGATGATAACAAGCGAGTTCATAGAACGGAGATGATGGGGGGCATTTTGAGCTACTAATAATATGGCAATTCCGATGAAAATGTTTAGCCTGTGACCCGGCCAACACACACAAACACACAGTACCTCTTCGGGCTGGCAATTTATGACAGGGTAATGTCAGGCGATGGCCGTAAACGAGGGGCAAAAGTTTAAAAATTTAATCAAATTTATTGTCACACAGCAGCGCACGAGTATGTGTGAAAATGAGTGCCTCAGTTTCTCAGTTTCCAGTGGAGAAATTCTAGGCCAGGAGTGGCCTGGGATAACGGCCTTTAACGAGCGCTTAAATGCTCGTCTCGTGCATAATTTACGGCACTTAAATTGACCTTTTTTTGGCAGCAGCAGTAGCAGCAGGCGACAGTCCCATGGTCCATGGATCCAGATAGTGCGGAGGTCACCAGGAAACCAGGAAATGAATCACTCGATGACCTCTACCTCCGCCCCTCAAGTGCTGTGATAATTCCGTGTTCTAAGTGGAGTCCTATGCTAATGCGCACTTGCCATTTCCCTTGAAGGACTTAGCACGAAACCCTTTCATGTAAATGAGTCGCTTCGGGACTGTCGTCCTACCATCTACCATCTTCGAGGAGGAGCCTACTAGTGCCTCGAACCAAAAATTTAATTGAAGCAAAGACAAGAAGAGCTTCTCATACATTTTTGGCGAGATGAAAGAAAGTCTGCTGGTGATTTCCACGGGGATTCTACGGATGACTTGGCTTTTGGCGGGTGTGTGCATTTATCAAACACGTCACGTCAAGGAATTCAGGGAAGGGAGGCTGAGGCTCTCTCTCCACAGGGACTGTTCTATATTTGCGGCAGGCATTGCAGATTTTCGGAATATATATTTTAGGAGCAGCGTACTTTAAGTCAGCATTAAAGGCGAATTAGGAGAATTGATTTGCTCCAGCTTCTTGCCTGGGGCCTGGAATTTTTGCGTCCATAATCTGGGGATTATTCGCAGCATTCGCATTCGCTGAGTTAAGTACAGCAGGATGGGTGGCCATTCTAGCCACGGGGAGTGCTCTTAAAGCCGTCGATGCGAATGCAAATGAATGTGGAAACGCCGGGAGCCTTCGTTTGCAATTGCCTTTAGGGGGTGGGGGAGGGGGAACTTCAGGCTTTAGGCTCCCATTCTTATCAACCAACCATCCAATTCACTTCCGCGATTTAAGCTGGAGTCCTTGACACTCGGGAACCTCTTCGTGCGTGGCAAACATGGCCCTGTGACGCATTTCAGGGGTTTTTTCGGTTGGGTATGGGGTAAACTCAGTAGTTGGAACTAATCTCGAATGGCGCCTCCCACGGGAAAAAGAAACTGCTTACCGTAGTAGTAGTGCTGCTGCTGCTGCTGCTGGTGGGGCACAATGGTGTCCAGAGACTGGCAGTGGCTTCCGTTGGAGCGTCGCTGGCTGCCGGGAACCGGGGCGGAGGTGGAGGTAACCTCCGGGCCACTGCTGCCAAAGTTCATGGCCCGCTCGTTGCGCATGCTCACGTACAAGGTGCGTGTGATGAACAGGTAGGTGAAGCTCAGGGCCAGCAGGGGCAGCACCAGAAGGGCCAAGTCCAGGAACAGATTGTAGGCCCGCTCGTAGTTGAGGCTGTCCGCCGGCCACTGTTCGCGGCACTTGCGCAGTCCTGAAGGATGGGAAATCCCAAATAAATCTCCAGGATCTGGAACAGGATCACAAACCTCACTCACCTGGTCTACTGGTCGGCATTAGCTGGCTGAAGGCGGCTATCGGCGTCATGCACACCAGACTGCCCAGCCAAATGATGGCGATGATCTTGTTGGCATGGTTGATCGTCTGCCAGGTGCGCGACCTCAACGGATGGCAGATGGCGTAGTAGCGTTCGCAGGATATGGCCACCAGTGTCCACGAGGAAACGGCCACAGAGGCAGCTGTAAAGAAGTTTAATACTTTTATTTAGAAGAGAGAAACAATAGAATGGAAATATTATCATTCCTAAATATTCCAAAATAAAAATAAAAAAAAAATTAAAAATAAATTATTTAAGAATTTAAAATGTTGTAATCGGACCATTCTTTTAAAAGTTATGAGTAATACAGGTGGCACGCATGCAAGCAGTGCAAGCAGTCGTTTTACCGCTGGCATATATCTGATTAACGGGTATCTGATAGTCGAGGTAATCAATTCGATGATAAGAATAATATATATATCACTAACTGATGCCCTATTGTTTTCATAATTTTTAACAAAACTGTTTTTCATCTAAGAAATCTAATAGCTTAATTAGGTTTAGACAATACCTATTTATTCACCAGACTAAAATCATAATCAACTTTGTGGAATGAAATTACTTGAGTCAATCTCTTGGCAAAATCAAAAATATAGCTAATCTACTCCGGCCATTTGCTATTTGCCATTTGCCACCCTTCGTAAAGTTTCGACTTTTATGGCTCCGATATTAATGGCCATTTCCGGGCCGCCCTTCACTTCCCCCATAAAGTTTTATTCGAGCACTCATTGGCAATTGTTCCGCCTCGGTCCATCGTACTCCATTGCGTTCCCGGAACAATTAAAATGTTAATGTCTTTGTCAGCTCCAAGTTGTTTTCTATTTTTTTTTTGTGTTTTTGGATTTTTAGGATGGCGCTATGATAGCAATGGTGCCGCATTTAATCAAAGTCCCCCAAGTTGGGCTATCGTCGTTCTAATCGCCATCACAATCGCAATCCCCAATCCACAATCCACAATCCCAATCCCCAGCCTAATCCTGGTCGGCATCAACAGTGCAATAAAGGCCGAAACATATATACATTCGCATAACTTGGTAAGTGGATTCCGGGTGGGGGCGTAGCTCAAAAAACGGGTTGAGTTTTTGGTTTTCGGGTTTGAGTTTGGGTTTGGGTTTCACATAGAGAATGTGGCTGGCCTCATTGGCGGGATGATGAAACGGAACGTAACGGAACGGGCAAGCTCATTAACAAAATTAAATTTAGCTCCTCCAAACGCACCCTTTACCCTGGGAAAACGGAGTGTAGACCGTAGACCACGAGCCATGGCTCAGTGATTTCGAGTCCGCAGCAAAAATGTAAATTTTATGGAAATGCTGAAAATAGATGCCGATGCCAATGCCGGACCGCAACGTGGGAAACAACAATGAAAATGAATGAAACGCAAATACTCGTACGCCCACGGACTTTTGGAGGTGTGTGTTTGTGTCGTCTGAGGGGTGAAAATGGTGAAAATGGCATTGGAAATGGCTAAGCGGAAAACTGTGTCGACTGGCAGTCGTCGTAAATAGAATCGCTGATTGAACGCAAACAACGGACAACATCGAGAACTTTGACTTGGGCCAATTTCTTGTTTTTTTCCTCCACATGCCCCACATAATGCCCGGCTAAGTCTGGGACATCTCGACGATATCCTCTGATAATCGCCCCTTGAAACCTGTTTTACTTTTCATATTTTGCCGGGCTGAGGATTATTTTGTCGCAGTCATAAAACAAGCTAAGCTCCTGGGGACCCTGCTGAGTGGTAGAATAAAATGATTTAATATGCATTTCTTATCTGACAAACAGTGCTGTCAACGACCTATTTCAAAAACATGACAGATCGGCCAGGAAAAAAATAAAAACGGTGGCAAAAAATTGACAACCTTTTATAAAAACGGTGCTTCATTTTAAATTGTTAAATTCCAATTTTGTTACTAAATTTCATAGCTGGCGGCAAAAATTATGCCACAATATATTTTCAAACCAAAAGAAAAATGAATTCATTTAGAAAGACGATTATTCAAAATTTACTGTATACTTTTAGACAATTATTTTTATACATATTCCTATTATTATTCATTAAGTAAATACTCGCCATATTTAATCATTTAAAATATCTCAAAGAGAAACAAGGAATGGCTGAAACAGAACTGATGATGTTCCACTAATGTTTCGACCAATTTCAAGTTCAAAAAATGCAAACAGACATTTCTGACAAATTGACGAGCAGTCATCTCGAATGGAGCCTGTGTCCACATTCAGGTGCTCAAAGCCAACTCGGGTCGGAAAATGACAATGAGCCGGGTTGCCGTTTCCCCTGGTGGCTTGGCCACCTCCACCCACCATTTTCATTTCCATTTCCGCCCCCCCGAATGCCCGAATACCCAAATCCCCAACTCGCATCGTGCACTTGGGTGCGTGTTCGAGTGACAAACTTGAAATGGTTTTGCCATGCAGAAAATATCCTCGTGTGGTTATAACTTTATGTATGCTGCAAATTGTGGGAAATCAAATGAAAGAGCCGGGCTCTTAAACGGAAAATCTAACATTCTAGTTCCTTTGTTGCACATTCACATTCTGCCACAGAGAGGATGGATTCATAATTTCGTTCGGTCTGTTTTGTGGCTTGGGAATCCAGAGCTTGGGGCTGCCAGAGTTTTACCTTCGTTTTTCTGGACTGCAATTAAAATGACCTCATATTCCATCTGTTTATTGTCGCCTACGGCTTTTGGCTACGTTAAATTCTCAAAAAAAAGGAGGAGAAATACCTGAAGTGAAATGGTATTGGGGTTGGGTGTTGAGGTGAAAAGGTCAGTGTGAACCATTCTGGCTTTTCACGCTCCATAAAATGAACTTTTTAACTTTTCATAGCTTCTAATTGTGCAGTGCGTAGTGCAGTGGTCAGGTATCCTGGCAGCCTGCAAAGGCCAAGTTTCTCTAAGCTCTGTGGTTATTTGCCTTTCGATCTTCCCCAGGTTCTCCTCCCCACCTTTCAACTCTATTTGGCCATGCTAAAAGTTACATTAAATTAAGCTAACAACCGCAAAAGTATAACTGGCCCCTGCTGCCCAGGAGAACAAGCTGCAGTTTCGACAGGCTTCCATTTCTGGGAAGCCACCTGCCACGGGCAATTGGCCTGCATTCACATGCACAGAAAAAAATCAACTAGTGTTTTGAAAAACCTTTGGAAAAGTGGCTAAAAGTATAAAGCGACTTTAGGCTTACAAATATATTGTAGTATACTTTGCGACACCTCGATAACTAACTAGGTAATGCTGATGTAGGTAATCGTTTTTTATATGGAACTGATTTCAGTGATATCCTAGCAATAACCTATACTATAGATTTAGTGGATTGATTCTTACAGTTTGTCAGTACTTAGTCTACATCTGATTAAAAACAAGTTAAATGATTGGATATTTGATGTTAGTGCACCCAAACATAACTTGATATGAAACGATGATCGATTTGGTGTTATGTCATATTCATTTTGACTTGATATGCAGGCACCTCAATTCGATATGCTCGAAATGTAATGAGATCCCACTCCAAGGCAGAGATTGCGGTAAAACCGTTATGCGTATGCAATACCATAAATTTACCATGCGCATATCCATTTTTTGTGTGTAGCTACCGGATCTAGTATTTTTTTCTCCCTGTGCACTGCTCGACTGCAAAGGCCAGGTAAATAAACGCAGTCGTCGAGTGCGGTCTTGTGAACAGTCTCTTTAGCTTTTGAGGTGGCCAAGGATGCCAGGTCCAGGACTCCAGGACCTCCCCTCAAAGTCGCTTATTTGGCCTGTAATTTACGCCCAAGTTGTGAGTTCTGAGGTCAAAGGAGAAAGTTGAGTACCAATTAAAAGTACTGCCACCTCCAAAACAGATTCATCAGATCAGGCTGAAAGCTGAAAGGAAAGTGGAAACTAGTTGGCAGTCCAACTTCCTTTTGCTCGGATCCGATTTAAAACTATAATCCCGGAACCTCGACACTCGACGGCATTATTAGTATATCGCCTGTTTAATGAGTGTAATTTAATGCAAATAGTGTGGAGACCGCAGAGCGTGATGTGGCAGCAACTAATTGCTGGCCCCGCGTTTCGGCTGCGAGGGTGGATGGAAAAGTTTTCGGAACCCTCTTCCCTAATCCTATTGGCTGGCAAACTATTACGGTTAACCTCGGAGGCGCTGGTCCCATTTAAATGCTTTTAATTTTCTACGCAAATATTTGGAGTCCAACTAGCGCACTATTTTAATGCGGATATGTAAGTAGATTCACCAGATATACGCAATATATATTTATTTTGCACGCTTGACGTAAATTTTTAATGTAATTTATATGCGAAAATTTCGAAAATTGCAATAGAAATGAGCCTCATAAATTATGGTTATCAAATTGGAAATGACTTTAAGCGGGGCATGCAAACATGGCCCATTTTCAATTTCCCCACGCAGCTGACAGGACAACCCAACGACCTACCTACCTACCGAAAAAACCATATCCAATCCCAATCCAATTCCCAGCGATTGCCCTCTGGTCGTTGTTTTTGATTTAGCGCTCCATTCGCAACTCAATGACAATACATAAGTCCATCTTTGCCATTTCCAGTTACTGTTGCACAACGGCCAGACATAACATAACTGAAAGTGGATTTTTATGGACTCGAATCGGGCGAAATGTGCGTGTGTGCGTGCCAGGACTCGAGTCCTCAATAAAAATAATTCCAAATTTGAGACAACAATAAAAAACGACGGTTGGGCCAAAAGTTTGGCCTGTCGACCGAAAGGAAAGATTGAAAAAGCACAAGTAAATCGCGATGGTTCTTCGTATATGTATGAACTCCAACCTACCCTCTACTCCTCCTGCCTGACAAAAAGATGGATGTATATCCCTATAGGGAGTATCAGATGGTCGATTTGCCGCTTATTGTTATTTTTCCGGCCATCTTCCTTTTGATTTCGCCCCTTCTTGCGCTTGTGAAATTATATAAAAAAATCGGAACGCATTGTTTTCCCCGTTTTGATACGTAAAGTTATGGCCAACGAAGAGCAACTTTTCCGCCTGTGGGCCCCTGCCCATACATATATGTATTTCTCATAAAAAAGGGGCCATAGACTCAAGTGAAAACCCCAATCGACATGAATTTGTAAGGGGGAAAATTGTAA